ATCCATACCCCGTTTTTTCGAAGTTGAGTCAGAAGCTCAGATTTTGCTAAGGTGGCGTCCCTAGGGGTTATTTGACCCCCTGAACACGAATATGATACCTGCTTTGCGCGAAGAGCGCTGTGAGTCGCGCTACCGGTGCCAACGCTTCGGTGCCAGCGCCCGTAAGAAGAAAAACAGTAAAGAAAAACCTCATAACTCCGCTCAGAGAATCGTTCCGCAAATTTTGAAGATAGTTTTGAGTTCACCGTCTCAAGACGGGTACAACGATGTGCATCTCATTGCAAATGGCCAGGCTGACCTGTTGACCTTTCCTGGTCAGCTTGAATGGCCATGGCGACCTGTTGACCTTCTCAGCCTCAGCACCGCATTGACAGCCCTTGTGCCCTACGCTAACGTTCCTGCTAAAAATGAATGTCATATCAATAATAAGGACAGCGAATAACCCTAGTATCCAAGTTCCCATCAATTTGGGTGGAAGAGGTGATAGCACCAAATTGGCGCCCATTGGCGCCAGTTGGCGCTGGGACCTGTAGTGAACGTCATATTCGTGACCAGACCAACAAAAAGCCCTAGTATGTAACTTTTCCTGAAGTTTGGTGAAAAAAGGTAGTGGTGAGTTGGCGCGGCACCATTCTGGCGCCCCGGTTTTGATGAAAAAAGTGGTGGCGCCAAATTGGCGCCTAATGGTGCCAAATGGCGTCAAACACCGCCGGTGCCAGAAACGGACATTACGTTGTGATACTGAGTAACCCCTACCGGCAATTTTTCAGCAGAAATTTTTCTAGAGGTTTTGGGCTCAGGTGCTGCTAGTTGAATCGTGCCTGGGACCCTTATATCTGAAGATCTCGTTGGTCCACTATTTGCATAAATTAACAAAGGTATGAAGACTTGTACCACTGGGAAAAGTTCCTCGAAGAACTCGAACTGTTTCTAAAAATTTCATCAAAAGCCCGTCCGCCACATATGGTGGACATGGTCCGAAGTGGACATTTCGGTGTCCACCACCAGTGGCGGACATTGTCACGAATGGGTTAAAGGCAAAGCCCGCGACCACAGATTGTGGGTAACGGAACCCACATAGGAACGAAAAAGGGCTAGGTATCTGATTAGCGGAGAAAAGCAGCAGAAAAAAACAGCCGAAATGCCCTAAATAGGATTCCATATCGACCCCAACTTGTACATGCATGCAATGAAGAAAACGCATGTTTGTACGAATTTCCACTCGTCGTTATCATAAAGATATCAGCTCTTTTATCGTATCACCTCACTCTCACCATTCGGAATGGAGAGAGATAGCATAGTGGCTACTAGCTAGTAGCAGCCGGTGGGGGTCGGCATGGGCCTAAGGGGCGCCCTTGGGCCTAATTGGTTAGCTTGAAGCGGAATTCTTGCCGATTTTCACTTTCTAAAGGTAGCGCAGCCTCCGCAATCTCCTTCCGGATCGTCTGACACATTTGAAAGGTCATAGCCTTATTTTATCGCGGAAAGTGCCTTTAAGTAGAATGCAAAAGGGATAACTTATAAAGTTAAATGGGGTGCGTCTACGAAATACTACATGGGCTGCACTCCGATACTAACAGTAAGAGACATGCGAAACCGGATAGAGTTGGGCTAGCCTCGCGGCTAACCTCGTGTAGAATATTGCTATGGTTATATGAATGCATTAGGACAGTGGCTGTCGAACACGTATATTCGGGGCTTTAGGCACAAGTCTGTTTGTGCAATGCCGGCGAAGAAAATACTGAAGTAGCTGAGTGTCATCAGAATGAGCGCGAGACTAACCGCGCAGCTAGACCGCAGACGACAGAATTGAGCCGTAAGCTTCAAGAATTGACAACTTGGTGCGGTGCGGCTTCCTTCCAGCTTTGTCAATTGACTGAGGTTGTACAGAAAATCACGACAGTTATCTTTACCTGAGGTTGTACAAAAAATCACGATAGTTATCTTTACTGAGTGAAGGAAGATTACGATCTGCTCAAAGAGATCAGCTCCTGTGGGGCACTTAACGATCGACGTGCCTTTGATTGCTACCTTTGGATTTGCTTCCCTAATTGTTGGCAAAGGCAAAGTTTCAATTACTTGGAAAAAAGTTAAAGCTGCTCTTTCTTGAAAGTCTTCCAGTTGTACAGGCAACGTCTAGCACATCACTGGATGTGCATTTAGTAGGGTGGGAGGAAGTAGCACATTGGCAAGTCACCTGCTTAAAAGCGCGCGGTCCTGGGGTCGGATAGCGGAGCCGGCTCTTGCCCGAGGCAATCAAGCCTTCCAATCTATATTTTAGCAACATAGTGCAAAAGTTTTGGAAAAGTTCAAAAAGCTGACTCACACATTGCTTGCAACCAGATTCGCGACAAGATAGAAATTGTCGTTAACCATCGTAGTTTCTGCTTTCCACCACTCCTCGTCAGACGGCGCTATGAGTTACTTCTTCATTCTACTCATTGTCTTCTGAAAGATGTAAGAGTATTCCCAGTATTCTTCTTCTTCTGCGTTTCCTGCAAATGGCTCACTCCTGCTGACAGACGCAGAGGATTCGCATCTTTGTTTTGCTTTCTACCAAAAGGCATTACAACTCTCAGTTTTGGCGTACTTTTCAACTTGACAGGTATTTCAAAACTTTCACGAGAAGTTCTTTTGCTCTCTTATTATACACTCCGTTCGACAAAAAAGTGCTGAAACGGCCACATGGGTAACACTCATTGAGAAAAGTTGTAAGCTTGTACATCCCTTCTCCAAACTCAGCTCGAGGGCAGGGACCGTTTCTTCCTCACCCTCCACCCCCGCTCACTTTTCAAAGCAATCGTATCTCGGCATCCTCCCGCACTAAACCCAGCAAAATAGGAACATTCACATTTACTAGAGTGTTCCCAAAGAATGATCACGACAGACTTCTGCTAGATATTCTGTAGTGATTAGGGAAAAGCTCGGGCCGAAGACCTCATACTTTTAGAAAGGTTCAGAAAGTAGGCAACACATACACCCAATTTCCACATTTTCCTACCTGTATAATGAGGAACGTAGCTGTACCGGAGCAAAAAGGAATTCCACGAAGCTTAGCGGTGTCAGCTTACGCCTTGTTCCACAGCTCCCAGAATTACCTTGTCTTCCAGCAGATGACCCTCTTAGGTAGAGGTAAACTGATTTAAAACAAGGAAGCCTCATCCAACATTGCCGTGTCTCTGCTTCCCCTTATTGTTAGGGCTCAAGGGCGGCATTTTAACAGTGGTAGATCTGAACAAAATAAACTTTATTCCTAAATAATAAGCTTCCGCTTCACCTTCTGGGTTGGTTTATTTGCTGATTTGGAAATTCTTCTGAGTTGCTATAGTTTGCGCACACCCGGAATTCATTCAGTACACATACACTTGCCTAACCTTTGAGCTTCGGGCGATTCTGTCACGATTTTTCTTCCCACATTCAGTTTATATGGTCTTTCCTCCAAGAAGACAAGCTAAGGATTTAGGCTCAGAACCCGTTTAGCTCCAGTCAGCACCGGCGCCCACCTAATCCTCAGATCCCCTTCTTGCAAAACATTTCCGACCACAATTTTCTCTACCCCTTTCAGTGATCGAACTTGCTCAGATCCAGCAAAAAAGAAGTTATCATCCTGGAAAGAAGGTAAGAATCTGCGGCTTTTTACCAGTTTTTTTTCAGTCAGACCCTCCTGATTCGTACCATGCGTGTCAGAGCTACCCTTGCAATAACGCCCCAATGCTATACAGGGGGACGCCACGAGGTGTCAAGTCGGCTGTAGAGGTAAGCGCAAGTGAAAAAATTATAGTTAGGAGAAAGGGACTGGGAAGAATTCACCGCTCACGAAACAGGGAGCTGTTCTGGTACTGATTGTAATAAATCCTCTGCTATAGAGGACGCATAGACGGCAGGAACGTAGTTAGCTTTGCCTGGCAGACATGCTCATCTGAAAGGATAACATAACTAACCTGCACATCGACTGCCCCTGGGAAGTCATTGTATTGGCCGCATCGCATTGTTGGTATTATTGAGCACTGCGATTCCGAGTGGGACCTTGAGGGCTTACCGCAACCCAAATATGGTTTGAGTAACGGCGGAGGTCTAATTACTTCTTACCTAGGGTGGCTGTAAGCGGTTAACGGCAAAGGACTCGTACGAGTTCTCCGGATTTGCTGGTCAGCCCTGCGGCCTCTGTGCAATTCCCACTAACGAATCATTCATTTAGCACCTTGCAGTACTGTATGCCATCCGGTGACATTACAGGAAATAGCCCCCGAAGACCCTAAAAAAATAGAGCAAGGTAAACAGCGCGCGACGCTTTTGCATCACTGCAATTCCATCGGGGATGCTTACTTGATATTGCTCGCTTATTTCCAAAAAGGTATCGAGGAAATCAGAAAGCATTGGCCAACGAGATGAGATTGCAACCAACGAGATGCTACCGTTCTTTGTGACAAGCAGCTGAAGCGGTAACAAGCGGTGTGAGTCGTTGTCTTGTAGCCTGAAAACGTTGAACTAGTAGAAGGTAACCCGTTTCTTGATGCTTTCTCTCGCACCGTGTCATGAAAGAACCCTGTGCGAGTCGGACCTGGCTATCAAATGCAGGAAGGCATTTCACAGGCCACCTGATTGCGGAAAGCGTCTTCGAACCCCGAAGCGGCCCATGGCGACGTGGTGGCTCTATGCCGTCACGCCACACAGCTATATTCTTTTCCACTTGATCCCAACAACCACATTAATAATCTATTTCTAAACCTTTATAATCATAACCTTTTTCAAACTTGTTAATAATGGATAAACTATCTTTCTTTGCCATACAACTTTTTCGCTACTGCAGCCATACAAGAACCTGCGGCAGAGACAGAACTGATGTGATTGATATCATTCTAGCCTGGATAGCTTATGCTTTTTTCACTCTCGTGGCCTTTTCTCAGAGCACCAGAACAGGAGCCGGAACAAAGACTTTGAAGAAACATAAGAAAAAGCATAAAGGGAAGCATCTGCGCTCAGCACTGAAACCAAAGAAGATGAAAGGGGAAAAGTTGGACATGCGCAACTTTCACGAAAGAGGTCCGCTAGAAATGAAGACAGAATATAGAGGAAGCGTGGTATGCACACTTTAATGAACGGTACATGAAGTAAAAGAATAATTTAAATAAATAGTTCCGTTTCAGAGACATGACCTTGATGACGAGAGCTCCGGCGTCCTCGAATCTCTAAAGTACGATCCAGGTCTTAATTCTTTGGTTCTAATTGGAACTCAAGTAGAGAGACTAACGGTTCGTGCAATTGTCTTATGATTGCTATGCTATTTTGAAAGATGGTGGCGATCTGAACGTTTGACAACAAAGAGAGCTTACAAAATTTATTCTCACACCATGGGAAACCAAGAACTGTCAAAGCTTTCCAGCCCACATTTGGGACGCTACTGGAAATTAAACACTCGAATAGAAGGTCATCACCATGTGTATTAGGTTGGAAAGAAAGTAATGGTACACTCACATTCACATAAGTTCTTCTCCAAAAGTGTCACGTTATCACGGCTAACAGGCATCGTTCGATAGAAGAAAGAAATCCCTTCATTCAGGTTGAAACGTTTGCTTTCATATGATCCAGTAGAGTTAGTGTGCCTCAGAGATGCCGTAATAAGAGGAGATTTCCACCATCTCGCTGTTCTTACTTGTATCTGCTTCTACCACCAATGAATTCTAGACCCATCTGCCGCAGGTTTGTAAGAGGGGTCTTACCTCTCAAACCAGCATCAGTGTGCAAGTTCAACAAAAGCACAAGCAGATCACGGTTGAATGTGGACATTCAACATAAACAGATGTAAGCAAACTTGCGAAAATCAGCCAATATTTCATCTACCTAGTCTGCGGAGGTCCTTCGACTGAACCATGTATCCGAAAATGCGGTCTATATGTGGGGCACACTGACATAAATCACAGAGATGACATTCTTCTGAGTTGCTATAGTTTGCGCACACCCGGAATTCATTCAGTACACATACACTTGCCTAACCTTTGAGCTTCGGGCGATTCTGTCACGATTTTTCTTCCCACATTCAGTTTATATGGTCTATCCTCCGGACCAAGAAGACAAGCTAAGGATTTAGGCTCAGAACCCGTTTAGCTCCAGTCAGCACCGGCGCCCACCTAATCCTCAGATCCCCTTCTTGCAAAACATTTCCGACCACAATTTTCTCTACCCCTTTCAGTGATCGAACTTGCTCAGATCCAGCAAAAAAGAAGTTAATCATCCTGGAAAGAAGGTAAGAATCCGCGGTTTTTACCAGTTTTTTTTCCGGTCAGACCCTTCTGATTCGTACCACGCTACCCTTGCTATAACGCTTCCAGTGCTATACAGGGGGACGCCACGAGGTGTCAAGTCGGCTGTAGAGGTAAGCGCAAGTGAAAAAATTATAGTTAGGAGAAAGGGACTGGGAAGAATTCACCGCTCACGAAACAGGGAGCTGTTCTGGTACTGATTGTAATAAATCCTCTGCTATAGAGGACGCATAGACGGCAGGAACGTAGTTAGCTTTGCCTGGCAGACATGCTCATCTGAAAGGATAACAACACTAACCTGCACATCGACTGCCCCTGGGAAGTCATTGTATTGGCCGCATCGCATTGTTGGTATTATTGAGCACTGCGATTCCGAGTGGGACCTTGAGGGCTTACCGCAACCCAAATATGGTTTGAGTAACGGCGGAGGTCTAATTACTTCTTACCTAGGGTGGCTGTAAGCGGTTAACGGCAAAGGACTCGTACGAGTTCTCCGGATTTGCTGGTCAGCCCTGCGGCCTCTGTGCAATTCCCACTAACGAATCATTCATTTAGCACCTTGCAGTACTGTATGCCATCCGGTGACATTACAGGAAATAGCCTCCCGAAGACTAAAAAAAATAGAGTAAGGTAAAGGTAAACAGCGCGCGACGCTTTTGCATCACTGCAATTCCATCGGGGATGCTTACTTGATATTGCTCGCTTATTTCCAAAAAGGTATCGAGGAAATCAGAAAGCATTGGCCAACGAGATGAGATTGCAACCAACGAGATGCTACCGTTCTTTGTGACAAGCAGCTGAAGCGGTAACAAGCGGTGTGAGTCGTTGTCTTGTAGCCTGAAAACGTTGAACTAGTAGAAGGTAACCCGTTTCTTGATGCTTTCTCTCGCACCGTGTCATGAAAGAACCCTGTGCGAGTCGGACCTGGCTATCAAATGCAGGAAGGCATTTCACAGGCCACCTGATTGCGGAAAGCGTCTTCGAACCCCGAAGCGGCCCATGGCGACGTGGTGGCTCTATGCCGCCACGCCACACAGCTATATTCTTTTCCACTTGATCCCAACAACCACATTAATAATCTATTTCTAAACCTTTATAATCATAACCTTTTTCAAACTTGTTAATAATGGATAAACTATCTTTCTTTGCCATACAACTTTTTCGCTACTGCAGCCATACAAGAACCTGCGGCAGAGACAAAACTGATGTGATTGATATCATTCTAGCCTGGATAGCTTATGCTTTTTTCACTCTCGTGGCCTTTTCTCAGAGCACCAGAACAGGAGCCGGAACAAAGACTTTGAAGAAACATAAGAAAAAGCATAAAGGGAAGCATCTGCGCTCAGCACTGAAACCAAAGAAGATGAAAGGGGAAAAGTTGGACATGCGCAACTTTCCACGAAAGAGGTCCGCTAGAAATGAAGACAGAATATAGAGGAAGCGTGGTATGCACACTTATAATGAACGGTACATGAAGTAAAAAAATAATTTAAATAAATAGTTCCGTTTCAGAGACATGACCTTGATGACGAGAGCTCCGGCGTCCTCGAATCTCTAAAGTACGATCCAGGTCTTAATTCTTTGGTTCTAATTGGAACTCAAGTAGAGAGACTAACGGTTCGTGCAATTGTCTTATGATTGCTATGCTATTTTGAAAGATGGTGGCGATCTGAACGTTTGACAACAAAGAGAGCTTACAAAATTTATTCTCACACCATGGGAAACCAAGAACTGTCAAAGCTTTCCAGCCCACATTTGGGACGCTACTGGAAATTAAACACTCGAATAGAAGGTCATCACCATGTGTATTAGGTTGGAAAGAAAGTAATGGTACACTCACATTCACATAAGTTCTTCTCCAAAAGTGTCACGTTATCACGGCTAACAGGCATCGTTCGATAGAAGAAAGAAATCCCTTCATTCAGGTTGAAACGTTTGCTTTCATATGATCCAGTAGAGTTAGTGTGCCTCAGAGATGCCGTAATAAGAGGAGATTTCCACCATCTCGCTGTTCTTACTTGTATCTGCTTCTACCACCAATGAATTCTAGACCCATCTGCCGCAGGTTTGTAAGAGGGGTCTTACCTCTCAAACCAGCATCAGTGTGCAAGTTCAACAAAAGCGGACATTTTAAGCAGATTACAGTTGAGTGTGGACATTCCACATAAACAGATGTAAGCAAACGGGAGGTCCTTCGATTGAACCATGTATCCAAAATAGCGGTCTATATGTGGAGCACACTGACATGAATCACAGAGATGACATGGCACATTCAATCCCTACTTCAAGCACTTACGCTGGCGCTTCGACAACGTAATCGTAGGGTGCCGTATTAGGGACTCAACCAAGCAAGCTAGAAATTCTACGTGATGGCATCAAAGAAGTGCTGTGAACTTGACGGAGCTAAGGAGCAGTAGATGAGTGGGATCTTGTAGCTACGATAGTATCTGGCCACTTCTATGTTCTTCAGCCGTACAACTTGACCAGCCATCTCGTAGACACTCGTAGACAGTAAGCTAAAATACATTTCTTGGAAGGTGGATAATGAACTAGTGACCAGCTACTGGGTTATCCTTCCCTGTCTGCAATACTCTCTCACGTTTGCTTCCGTACACCACCTAACCAGCACCTGTAGTTGTTTTTTTGGCAGCGAAAGTTTTCAAATTATTCGGAATACCGAACGAAGTCGGTATGAGCCCAACTCCTAGCTCGTTATGTTCTGGACGAAAGACAGTCGTGACCTCTCCACACACTGAGAGGCGAACCTTGTTGAGGGTATGAGCCATGGAATTCGCCGGTGTCATTTTCAGAGAGAGTCAGGAAATTTTTTACCCCAAATACAGCATCTCTCCAACCTTATATGATTGCTTACCATGAGTTTCCATAACCTCTTTTTTTGCTTTTTTTGAGGAAGTACACTGAACTACGCTTTAATACTATTCTATAACATCGTAGCAGTATCCCATTCACTGCCTGTGTGCAGTTCGTCACCATATAAGTTATATGTCCACCTTCATCATTACTGGAAGTACTGGCATAACATTCTCGCACGATTTCTTATGCTCTTGTGTTTAGCCAGGGGACACCCAGTCAGGAGCGCCATCAGTGTCAAGATTCTGGGTCAGTGAGTCCTCAACATATATATGGGGCGACGCTTTTCCTAATAAGGACTAAATAAAGGAATAAATTTCAGAGTAAATTGAATGCATCAAAAAAGCCACCCTCCAAGGAATCAGTGAGTTGTACAGTTCTGAATATTACCGTATAAGATCAAATAAAAAAGGGAGAGAAAGAGGGGAGGCGAAGCAGAGGCAAGAGCATGACCGAGAAAACTGCAACAAAAGTACAAAAAGATTAGTTAGATGAGATTAGTTAGATGAGTCGAGTTGCGCCGGAGGCCTCAATCTTGTTAGTGCTAACCTTTTGCCCTGAACTCTCGCCATTATTGCCTTCGATGTTAAGTAATTCATTTCCTGGACCGTAGCCAAATCTGTACTTGGGGAAACGAAGGAAGAGAATATGAAGTTGTGCAACAAAATCTACTCATCATCCCTCACATCATGTTGGAAGATAGGAGCCATTCCAAGTGACTAACTCGTGGACAAAGTTGCACTTCGAAGGTGAGCCTGGATGTTGAAGTCGCCTCAGTCCACGACATTCACTGGAGCGCTTTCAACCAGCTGGCATTTCGAACCTGTTGTTTGGAATGGAATTCATTCACTCTACAGGCAATAGTCAAATCTCTTCTCCAAACTAGTTGAGCGGTTACAAACAAGGCTGGGAGGGTTCCTGAGCCGAACCTTTCACCGCTACAAACACCCAAGCTAGAACATTCAAGGAATACCCCTTTGAATCATCTCGGCGCACACCTTTGCAGCTAGTGTCAAATATGCCGGGTTTTGCTACACATTTCAAGTCTTTTCTGGAAGGATTTCATCTTATTTCTCTGGACTTTTTACCGGGCCTTTCCAGCAATTCATTGCTAATTGTTACATTCGCCCATCTCATGTGCAATCTGTGGACCCAACTTATGATATCCTAGAGGTGGAGGCCAGAAAGGATCTTTCCTTCGAGCTGATCCTAATTATCGCATTACTTCGTACATGCTCCCCAAAGGTTTGAGGCAACTCATTCTTATGAGGGAACTGGATCGGAAGTTATAGTGCATCACAGCCGGATTTCATGATACCATAATCTTCAAAAAACGTGCCGTGGGGGAGATAGGTGCACTGCCCTTTTGTCCGTTATTGCATCTTCGCTGGGTGGCTGGAGCACCCCGACGCTTCCACAGGCTTTACTTATACTTATACTTTATTCTTTATCGCACAGACACAAATAGAGTGTTTTTGATCATTTGTGCGAAGATTCTCGAGGAACCGGCAGCGGTGAATAATGTCGTCCATCTTCTAGTCATGTCTCTGGTCCTTGCTCCAGTATAACGAGCGAAGTCGTCCAGAGACCTCTTTTTCCTTGTGGTATCCAGTCAGTTGCCACTCGAGCCCAGGAGTCTTGAGGGGACCTTCTTGAGAGACGCGCAGCGTAGGACCATTTTCTTTGTAGTGCCGAAACCACCCAATCTTTCAGCGATGTCCTTCTGCGTAGGATTTTGGATGAGATTTTGTCCGAAAGCCTAGCTCCAAGTATGGCTCTTTCTAAACGTCTTTGTGCTGTTCTGAGGCACATCGCCACTTCCTTTGTCCATACCCATGTTTCGCAACCATATAACACTGTTGGTAGGATACATATTGATAAGTTTTCGTTTCAAACTCATTTCCACTCGAGGTTGTCGAAGGAACAGTCGGTTCTTGAAGTATGAGGCACGAGCTGCTTGAATACGACTATGGATCACATCCTTAGGATTTCGCGGGAACGTTATCCTTTGACCGAGATAACTGAAATGGTCGACTCGTTCGATTTCATTTTCCTGCACGTATAAGGGACCGTCGATATCTCCTAGATCGGCTTTACTCAATCTCATCCATTTCGTCTTCATAAAATTAATAGTGAGTCCCACTTTCTCCGCAGCATCGGGCCAACATTTTTTGCCATTATTCCAACATCTTCACAACTATGAGCGAGAAGGACAATATCATCAGCATAAGCTAGGTACGAGAGGGTTTTGTTCCCTAGTTTCAGTCCTTTGCCCTGCCAATCTATCAGATTCAGCGCGTACTGGAGAACTAATGTGAAGAGAACTGGAGACATTGAGTCTCCTTGTCTTACACCCCGCTGCAGATTGAACTCTGCTAGTTGGTTCGCTATTCTGACGGCAGCGGTACTGTGTGCATACAGCAGTTGTATGGCCATTATCAAGTTCTCCTCATAACCAAATATCCCAACGCTCTGTTCCTTATGGATCTGGAAGTCCACGCTATATAAGGGCCTTCTTAAAACGAGAATGGAACGGCACATAGCTCATAATTCGAATCGTGACATTTCTCGGTAATCATATTAATAGTGTGAATATGATCTATGGTCGAAAAGTGCTTGCGGAAACCAGCCTGCTCCGATGGTAGAATTGACTTTTCCTCAATTGTGGCTGTCAAACGGTCTGTAGATATTCTTGTCAGCACCTTATACAGCGTCGACAGCAGCGATATCGGCCTGTAATTTAGTCTCCCAGCTTTGTAGAGTAGAATGGTGTGAGCGAATGCAAAACTTGCAGGCACAACCTTTGTCCTTATCATGTTGTTGAAAAAATGTGTTATGGGTAAGGCGAGTATTTGTGAAAGAGCACGAAGAGAAGGGGATTGAATGCCATCGGAACCAGCAGCTGAACGTGCTTTGCTTCTCTTCATTGCCATTTGCACTTCATTATTGTGGACCTGCAGATTTATTTGGCCTGATGGTGGAGTGGGTGGGCCGAAGGAGGAGTGGTACAGTGCGTTATAAAAATTTCTCACTGCTTTCACTGACTGCGACACGTGATCAGGAAAAGGTTCATCTGATGGGGAGGGGTCGCTAGGAGGGGAGGAGGTGGTTTCTTTCAGGATTGTCAAGGATCTTCTTGCGTGTAAAGCTTGCATGCGCCCACGTCGAAGGCGTCCGGACTTGATGGCTTGACGAAATATTTGAATATGACGTTGTCGCAAATCTTCTTGGATAGATTTTCGGGCTAGCTTGCAAATCTCAGCATACTCCACGATTCCCCTCCCATTATCTCCGTGACGTAGCTCTCGTCGTCTCTGGAGGAGATCCCGGGTCCTTGGTGATAGACGTGGTGGGAGATATTCATACCTTGTGGACATCTGAGTAGCTGTTGTTATGACGCGAGTAATGGTATCATAATCTTTGATTGTATCGCCAGTCATCATATTTTCATGTAGTAAACATTGAGCGGTTGAACACAATAAGTCGCTGTCGATAACGGGGAATCCTCTTGGTCTTCTTACTGGTTGTGAGATCGGATTCAGACGCATTTTACATCTTAACATGCGGTGATCACTCCCCGTGTTAACACTAGTGAGCACTCCTACATCGACAACGCCCTTCATACTTCTCAACAATACATAATCAATCTCTTTCTTCAGTCCCAAGGCATCATTTCGCCATGTCCACCGATCGTCAAGTCTCTTTTTGAAGAACGAGTTAGCAAGAAATAGCTTTCTTTCCTCACAAAAGTCGGCCAACATTTGTCCACGGTGATTTCGAGCTCCTGAGGAATTGTTACCAATGTATCGCTCTTCATTACGGCGTAAACCAGGAGTTGCGTTGAAATCGCCCAGAATCACTTGGTGCTTACTTCTCCTGGCATCGAGAACATGAGCAAGATTGTCTAAGAACGCCTCGTATTCCACATCTTGAAAATCTGAATGGGGCGCGTGAACTTGTATTATACGGAGAGTGCTCCTATCGGCTAGTTTTATGCAAAGCTCAATCATTCGTTCAGAATGAAAGAAACAATCGCTGTGTTGATTCAACGATGACGGTACATAAAATCCTACACCTCTTTTGGTTCGTTCCTCAGTACCACTATGATATAAAGAGTACCCACTTGAGAGGTCTATTCTTCCTTTGCCAGCCATTCGTGTCTCCGAGACTCCAATGACATCGAACTTGACATTCTCGACCGCGGCTTCGAAGTCGGCAAGTCTTGCCGCGGTGGCAATGGAACGGACATTCATGGTGCAAATGCGAAGCCGGTCCTGTCTTTTTGGCATACGGTCCGCGCTAGCCAACTGCGTGTTGGACCGGACCGTCTCTCCTTTCTTCGGTGGTTGAGTGAGCAAGGAGTGGAGGAGTGGTGAGGTCGACCGCTCACGGTGAATGAAGGAGGGAGAGATGCCTAGTCTTGCAGAGCAGAAAGAGGCGGCTCTCATGTGCTAACCTCTCCCCCATCCCCCCCTCTTGGGTATCCGCCTAACCGTGA